GTTGCTAGAAGCGAACCGCTGCCCGAATTTCAAGTCATCACTCTAACAAGTGAGTGCATAGTTACTTTCATCTTACACATTAAGATGAACTATTTAATATAAATTACATGCTATATGTGCCTATTATCTATTTTCCTGATATCTATGTTGGATAAACGATTTATACATGTTTTACTTGATTCAAACTGTATATGTATTTTATACTTATAAAGATGTTGGGTAAAAATAGGTAGATGAAAGATGATGAAAAATGAAAGATGAGATAAATAATGAGAGGTCTTGATTTTAAGGCTGATCCAGTCGTCTAGCGGAGTATAGATGACGACCACAGACTATTCTATACAGTCTAATGGAACGCTGGCAGGCTCGCAACCTGTAGGTGTTTTTGAACTACGTGTTCACCAGGTGTACTTCATCCCCCTCATAGTTGCCTTACTTACATATATTGTTGAGGAATCCCCTAATCATTATTGTCAATCCCAAATATAATCCTAGGCTAGGCCCCTTAAATTAGATGCTTTAGGGACAAAAAGTGAGGATAACGGGAACGGGTAATTAGGTAGAATGATTTGATGAAAATAAAGAATTTAATTATTGTGGGTTGAAAACCCTATGTGCTCACCAGGCTCCCAAGCCTGGCCCACTCAGTTTCTTATATTACAGGTAGTGACACAAGAGCACCGGTGTGATGTACAGATGAGAGAATTATGGATTATAGGCTAGTAGAATAATAGATGTTGTAAGGCCTATGTTATTTTCCGTTTATGCTTATGTATTGTATTGAGGATGACATCCCTACATTTTTAATATAATTAAAATACATTTCTTCGAAAATGCTTTGATAACATCTTTATCATATTTTAGGAACAAATTCCGCAATATTATTCTTCAAAAAGATACTCTGATTTTTAAATAAAGTATAAAGAAATCGGTCTTTTATGGCTGTGAAATTGGGGATGTCACAGTCTTCACCCTCACAAAATCGGCACCTCCTATCCTAAAAGATTTCTGGCCGAAAAATCCCTATCTCCTCTCCATAATCCTTAGTTGCTAGTCTTGGGTGTGCACCATCAGAGGCATTACACTTGTGGTGCTAGTTGCCAAAGGTTTTGAAGAAGAAGGATTCAAGATTGTTTACAATAACAATCTTAAATGTTAGTTTTTCTTGTCTTATGAATTAGTTTGTTCATAGGAAAGTTTTGTAGGTTAGTGTTCATAGTATGTTTTAAATATGTGAAAGACATAGATCAAACTAGGTTGCATGTGCCCTAATCAATTGAATTGTTTGATTGTTTTTCCGCTTAAGGCATTGTAGTTGTAACCTCTATTTCCCATCAAGCTAGAGATCCGATCTTCTTCAAAATCTTGAACGTGCCAAGATACCTCGGACTTAACTTCCTTTTTTTCCTGAAACGTATCACTCCTTTCCAAGGAGATATTTTCAAAATACCCAAATCATCGGGCTTCATATCAAAAAGGCCTCTTCTTCAAATCTATATAACTTCTTTGTCGATCTTGGTCCACTTTCATGTGATCTTGAACAATATTGATCTTTTCATTAGTGATTCTTACTAGTTTCGGTCTTGTAAGCTTCTTCTCACCTGCTTCTAACCAACACAGGGTGTCCTACACTTCTTTCCATATAATGCTTCATACGGGGGAATTCTAATACTTGAATGGAAACTATTATTGTAAGAAAACTCTACCAATGGCAAGTGATCATCCCATTTACTACTAAATTCAATAGCACAAGCTCTTAACATATCTTCCTTTGTTTGAATTGTCTGCTCACTATGGCCATCGTTTTGGGGGATGGTATGTTGTACTTATAAGGTCATACATTATGATCTGATGAGTCAAACACTTTACACGCTGATCGCCAGCGCCAGCGCCAACATCAACATCAGCGCCAACACCTCAAGACCTTATCAACGTTAGCATCTAGATAGTAATCTAATGTAATCTTTGTATATTAGGCAGTTATACTAATATGTATAGAATAGATAGCATATCCGATATCTTAGTGATAAGGATCAGTTATTATTATAAATTAGATACAATCCCTTGATTGAAGGGATATACTAGTATAGTTTAGTATATATTCATCATTAGGGTGAAACCCTAATGTGAACGTCTTGGTGACCATCTTTGTGGCAATCGTTCTCTTGGTGAGAACAACCCCTTTCTTGGTGAGAGACATATTTATGATTAATTCATGTTCTTTACTTTTCATGCAATCTTACTACCTCATCAACATACAACTTGGCCAACTTTTCTAATGTAGCAATCTCTTTAAGCATGGGAAACACATTTTCATACCTACTTTATGTCCCACGTTAAAGAGGTTATTGAGGAGATGGATGATGACCCAACATAGTTATTTTTATTGGTGATATTTTCACAACCTTATTTTATCTAACATCTTAAACTTGTACTAATATCTTGAATCGTCCAAGATCCTGGACATCCTAAGATCTTGAATTGCCCAAGATCTAGAACAAGTGAATATCTTGGGATTGTGATCGTGTTTTTTTTTTGTTGTATCTTGTATATGACTTGAAGAATTGATCAAAAAGAGATGGACCAGGTCAAAAGGTACGTGTTCAACAAGGAAAAACACAAAGTCTCCCCGAAATACCTAGTCAAGCTAAAATATGGGAAGATCCCAAATTTTCAGGAAAGTTAGTTAAATGTTAAATGTATATAAAGCCTAGCTGATCTTTGTTCACACATGCACTTCCACTACTTCTTCTTCTCTGAATCTTTCGACACTTGAACACATTCACATTATTTCTAAGATCAGCGAGCACCTATAATTTTATTCTCGATTTAATACAAGTTTTAAGGTAGGTGATTCCATCATCTCCCGAGATTTTATGTCGGAGATCCAAAAGGATTGAGGAATTTTCCTCGTAACTCTTTGTGTTCTTCCATTTACTTTATTTATTTGTTGTTGTTTAATCGATAACAACCTGTTTCTATATTTTATTCGATTATTCATTTGTTTACATTATTAAAACCACTAAGATATCTTCTGGTATCATAATACATTTTTGAGTATCTTAAAACCTATTGCACGAATTTACTTATTACATGTGGTTTAATCTATTCATATATTTACAAACCTTTTTACAAACATTTATTCAACTGTTATACTTTATTTGTTCAATTACGACCTCAAGATACTTTGTGGTATCTTGGGCCCTTTTTGAATATCGTAAGACTTATTACTCATTCAACGAGTTTACTACTTTTAAGGCTATTGTTGTCCCAATTTCCAAGTATACATGTCCTTATATCTTGGGCTAAACCAACATTTTATTTGACATTTCGTTATAACAAGTCTCAACATTACTATCTTATTCCCAAGATCCTGGGTACGTCCAAGATCTTCGACATCTTTCAAAATCTTAAGCATCTGATAAATCTTCTTCTTAAAATATTTACCTAAAACATCATACCACACTTACTAATTTGGTTACTAAATTACTTATGTGATTTTTGACCAAAACAATTATAATGGATCTTAGGCACGTCCAAAATCTTCGACATCTTTCAAAATCTTAAGCATCTGATAAATCTTCTTATTATAATCTTTACCTAAAACATCACACCGCACTTACTAATTTGGTTACTAAATTACTTATACGATTTTTGACCAAAATAATTATAACGGTTCACCTTAATTTGTTTGAACAATATTTGAAACGTTCATTATTGAAATTTTTATGCATATAGATGGTGGTGAATTGAAAAAAAAAGAATTTAAAACATTTTCGCCACACATTGACCTATGACATACGACATACTATGAACTTTCATCCTAATCAAAATTTTAATAGTTAGTAAGTCATTTCAATATTCATACTTTTAGTTTAAACACTTTTAGAAGGTAAAACCAGATAGTAAAATCTTTTGAAACTTTGAGACAAAAACATGTCTTCATAATAAAGTGACAACCAATTAACAATAGACTTTTGAAAATCATGTTATGATCAAGATTTAGCATATATAAACCAATGGGTAGTATTATATAAAAGAAAGATTAAAAGAGATATAGATATGTGAAGCAATAAGAGAAAAATTAAAAAAAAAAATCAAATTAATATGGTAAAAGATAAATCTTAATAAAAGATGGTGCAAATATTTACATGATAAGAGATAGTTCAAACATTCAAAATTATGTTTTTTTATGTATATACATAATGGTGAATCGGAAAAATATTTATACATTTGTCGCTTTTTACAAACGGCATTCTATAAACTTGCAGTCTAATTGGGTCGTTAAAAGTTAAGTAATTTTAATCTTCACTTTCAAAGTTTCAATAACTCTGGAAGCTAAAACCAAATAGTAAAAATCTCTAACCTACAAAACTTGCAGTCTAATTTGTTGAAGCATTGTCATCAACACATCACTACTTCCTCCGGTATATACAAAATGAAAACACATATCAATGGGGATAAAATAAAAATAAAAATGTTATTATATAGATGGGATAGATGTAATACTACAATTAATAAATAAGTGGTTGAAAAATATTATATAAAAAAAAATGCGTGAGTCCCTAGAAGGCCCATTATGAATTTGCCCATGAATCCGATAAAAAATGTCAACTTTTAGTTCCACCAACACACTCATTTGTTTCGGTTAAAATGTGCCTGTGATTGTTAGGAGGTATATAAACTTAAGAGTTTCTGAACCGGTGGTCCCTTCACGGGGGCATATTCGGCAAAGTATTGTCGCTTTCGCTTTCGTTTTCCATCACTCAATAAAATTTAAAATCTGAAATTTCCAAAAACTTGTTGAGAACTCTGACAAAAACATCCCCAGATAAGTATCACGTATTACATTTGTCATTTCATTAATATACTGATCCCACGTCTGATCACTCTGGCCCTCTTTGTCACGAGATTTTTGACACAAAATGCAAAACTAAATTAACAATTATGTAAATAAAAAAATAATCGAACTTCATAATCGGATTTCCATGGTGGTGGAAGGAGTCAATAATCTTCGAATATACAATTCATAAACCATGTACACTACTCAAAGATAGGCTAATAATCAAAAGATTTAAACGACATGCCGACATTAATAAAAACAGTCGTGTAAATCCCGTTTTAAGTGGACATAAACAAACAAGTCTGAAAGATGTTGAACCAATTGGTCATGTTGCTGTTTTTGAGTGTTTGATAAGCCAATCCATCACCATATCTATGTTTATTGATTCCTTGCATGAAATCATGTAGCAGCACAATTCTCTATCTTTAATTGTGTCAAGACCTCTGCACAAAACATCACAAGAATCAAAACATTGTCACACCTAAAGTCATGTTTCTTATATCTTACCAAAACATAACAGATAGGTTGTAGTGTGTTTGACATGCATTGGACTGAGACCGATGTCGATAAGACAAAAATTGCAATATATTTGTACGAACCGAAAAGGTAGAACAAGGTGGGAGAGGGACTCGCTCTCGATCTCTTGTTTTTGTGAAAAGACATGAATGCCCTCTTCATCCTCATCATTGAAAATAGCCCTAGAAAGTTTGTCCAGTCCCGTAAGACAAACGCAGTCTAAGACTGCGTTTTATTACACCAGACGGGGATTGGACAAGCTTTCTGTGGCTTTTTTCAATGATGAGGATGAGGAGGGTATTCATGTCTTTTCACAAAGACAAGAGATCGAGAGCGAGTCCCTCTCCCACCTTGTTCTACCTTTTCGGTTCGGACAAATAAATTGCAATTTTTGTCTTATTGACATCTGTCTCAGTCCAATGCATGTCAAACACACTACAACCTGTTCTTTCATATCATGTCCTATCCTGCATAACAAACACAGCCTAAACAACATTTTATTTTCATTTTTTTTTTAATTTTTAAACCACTTACAATTGATCCACCAATGCTTGTTTAGTTAACGCTTGTGACTTATCAATCTTGTTTCCTAAAACAAGCAAAGGAATCCCATTTAAAGACGGCTTTGTCAAGAGGTCGTGTAATTCCGTTCTTGTTATCGGAATGCTATCCCTGTCAGCAGCATCCACCACATACCTGTATTTCCACATATTAAATAATTTTATTATTATATATAAATCTTAATTTTTTTTTTCCAATTTGTTACAACAATTAAATGTAGAAAAGAGAATTACAAAATAGCAGTAACTCCTCGACAATATCTTTCCCACATGGACCGAAACCTCCGTTGCCCTCCAAGATCCCAAAGCTTTATTGTCACGTTTCCTTTTGTAACTTTTCGCATGTTAAATCCCACCTGATTATTGAAATTAAATGATTTAAAATAACATAATGTGTAACACTATGAATAAAATGATTTTTCATTGTTTAAAAGATACCTACAGTTGGAATCATGTCCTCACTGTAGCCGCCTGTCTGGTGATTAAAAAGTAATAATAAATCAAAGTTTGATTATTTTTTTAATTGGAAATGAAGAAATAAAATTGTGGAAATGAAGATTTTTACTGCAATGGAATTCACAAGAGATGTCTTTCCAGCATCTTGAAGGCCCACAAGTGAAAGTTCCATTTCCTGTTTAAAGAACAAACTGATATCTAAACATGGTGAGAATCTTAAAGTTAAGTTTAAACACAAGCTTCAATGCAGGAAATAGCATATCCTACTTTCATTTTTTTTTCTTATTAAGGCATTGTATTTTGAAATATCTATTAAGTTGTAGGATTACTTAATTGTACTTTTTTTATTATTAGGATATTATACTTTAAAAAATTTATCCATTATAGGAGTGAAAACAGTCTATAAAATTTTTTGATAAACGTTCTTTAATATTATGACTTCTATCAAAGATTAATTCGATTGACTAAAAACATGTGGATACAACACTAAGATCCAAGATTTTATGATTTTAATCTACTAAATATATCCAACTAGGTGCTACAGTGTGGAAGCTTAGTTCATATACCCCGTATTTCCCCCCTTTAGTTCCATAATCTTGACATTAAATTGTCAGCGAGAGATAGCTAAATCAAAATCTACAAGAAGTTCGATAAATAGAACACGATTTGGTGTTCAACGAAATAGCCGGAAATTTAGCAGATACAAGATTGATATGAGCCACAAGTCAATAAAGTAAAATGAACAAAAAGGAAGGAAAAACGATCAAAAAGCATGAAATAAGTGAGAATTAGAGAGACATGAAAGTACGAATTGAAGGGTAAGTGTTCGACGGAATTACCTGCGAAGCCAATTGAGAAAAGAATCCCACAAACCCATCTGGAGAAAATATGGAAGAGGTGTTTGCAGAATAATGCGAAGAACCCTAAAAGTTGGTTTCTAGAAATCTCAGGAAGAGTAAGGAATTGGCATCAAAAAGCAAGAGGAGGGAAAACCTTGGGCGATTGTGGAGCAGGTATGTATGTGTACGTTTCCCCACTGTTCGGCAACAATTAGATGGCCGTAGGGATAATAATGTCATTTGGCATTTGGCTATATTTCTTTTTTCGTTTTTTTTCCTTCGTAACTTTAAAATGTTTTAATAATTCATCTTTAAGATTAAGTTTATAGTTTGTATGTAAAAAAACTCAGATGACTTATACCTCTTGTTAATTCGTAGGGCAAAAAAAAATATTAAAGATTCAAACGAGGTGTGAGATCCAAGAATCAATTTTCAGCCGTACGTTTGAGAGTTTAAAAAACAATATAAAATAAAAAGCTATTGATATTTAACTTTCGTTACTTTTAGTTTTTTAAAAATGTTAAGTCATCGTCTTGGTTAAATATTGATGTAACCAAGTCTTTGGGAGATACGTTTGAGATAAGATGGATTGGAATTTAGAGTTTTCTTGTTAAGTTGTTTTGAAAGGGTGGATTCGGATTTACAGTTTTCTTGTTTGGTTATTTGAATGTAATGCTTTCAAGACCTGTTGATCATAATAGAATATATGGGTCGGTCACAATTCAAAACGTGGGATTGCACTCCAGATAGTATATGATATTTTTAAGGAGAAATGAGAGTAAATTGTTACTTGAAGATACCTTTTACGAATAAGTTATTACTGTTTGAAGATGATGACAATGACCGTCACACTTGTACTATGTATGTGCCTCTATCGTGCTTGCTTTCCACATGTGATCGTATTACACAGGATATTATTGGGACCTCGACGTTACTTTGAGTTCAATCATATCTCGACTCAGTATGAATTTCGCTTTACTTGTCGATATTTTACTGCTCAGCTCAGTCCTGTTGAGCTGGTACATTATAAAGACTATAGGGAGTGAATGCGGCTAAGCCGCACCTTTTGACACATAGGCAGGGGAACACTGCCCCCCTATGCAGTTTTGGGTGCGGTTTTAACGCACCTCTCCCTTCAATTACCGAGTTTTTTTGATTGGATGATCGGTTGGTGGACCGTTGAACGGCCAATTGTGTAATTTTTTTTACCTATAAATCCATACTTTCACCCTTATTTCTTCAAACCAAAACCAATTTTTTACATCTTTCTATATTTTTTCTCTCAAAATAACTAGAAAATGTCATCTTCTTTGTCGTCTGAAGAATTTAAATTTCTTTTTGATGGTGTTGTCGCTTCTGGTCAAATGGCGGAGCAAGCCTATGCCGCTTTACAACGGAGAACATGAATATATATTTACAGAAACCATGAAGAAGTCATCTGTAACATCCCAAAAATACGGCCCAAAAATTTCATTTTTCAATCATTATAAAAATCATAAACCATCCAGTATCATAAGTAAAATCGTGGGTCATGTATCATAACATATCATAAAATCTGTCTCATATGTATCTCATAACAAAATATCAGAGTGAAACTCCCAGGCTGAAGACTGTGGTGTGTACCATACGATCATCCCGAGCCCTTCCCCTTTGCTAGTGGAAGTAACTGAAACCAAAACTGAAACTGTAAGCACGAAGCTTAGTGAGCTCCCCCAAACTACCACATACCAGTCACATATAACATGCAACTAGGAGATACGAGCCCCGCCCACACTCATGGAGATACGGGCCCCGCCCACACTCCGCTATCTAGGAGATACGGGCCCCGCCCACACTCCGTTATCTCTGAGATACGGGCCCCGCCCACACTCAGCTACTTCGAGATACGGGCCCCGTCCACACTCGACTACCGTGAGATACGGGCCTCGCCCACACTCAGCTGCTATGCCAAAACATACAAGTGTCACACATAAACAAGTATACTAAATCTATCATTCAATCATGAATCATATTGCAACCAAACTACTAGGAGATATGGGCCCCACACACACTCAACTAACTAAGAGATACGGGCCCCGCCCACACTCAACTAATAATAAACTCATACTGCGGGCCGGCCTTGGTGCCTTAGACCCGTTCCTACTGAAGGGACACTCACCTCGTGTGTCTGACTGCTGAAACCCTGAGTGAGGTAATGCCGCCAACTCTTGTGGTCCGTGTGTCTGACGGCTGGTCCATGAGGTACCGCAAACTCTTGTGGTCCGTGTAAATAGTACACCGGACCCCATAGAGGTAATGCCGCCAGATCTTGAGGGCGAACACCACTGCCCTTAGCTCTAAATCGTGCGTCGGGTAGTTAGCCTCATAAGGCTTCAACTGCCTCGAGGCATAAGCTATCACATGCCCCCGCTGCATCAATACTGCTCCCATACTTGTGATCGAAGCGTCACAGTAGACTACAAAGTCATCTACTCCCTCTGGCAGGGTAAGAATCGGCGCCTCACACAATCGCTGCCTGAGCGTCTCAAAGGTTGTCTGCTGCTCAGGACCCCAACGAAACACCACCGACTTCTTGGTCAGTCGGGTCAGCGGAACTGCTATCTTGGAGAAATCCTGGATGAATCTCCTGTAGTACCCTGCCAAACCCAGGAAGCTCCGAATCTAGGATGGAGACCTCGGGACCTCCCACTGCATCACGACCTCAATCTTGGCCGGATCTACTAATATACCCTTCTGGTTGACAAGGTGCCCCAGAAACTGCACCTCGCGCAACCAGAACTCGCACTTGGAGAACTTTACGAAAAGTCTCTCCCTCCTCAAGGTCTCAAGCACCTCCTTCAGGTGTTCCTCATGCTGCTCCTCAGTCTTTGAATAAACCAAGATATCATCAATGAATACTATCACAGACCGATCCAGCATCGGTCTGCACACGCGGTTCATGAGATCCATGAACGCGACTGGAGCATTGGTGAGCCCAAATGGCATCACCACAAACTCATAATGACCATAGCGGGTCCTAAAAGCGGTCTTCTGCACATCATCATCTCTGACCCGCATCTAGTGATATCCGGACCGTAGATCAATCTTGGAAAACCAAGATGCTCCCTGAAGCTGATCGAACAAATCATCTATCCTTGGGAGTGGGTAACGATTCTTCACTGTTACCTTATTCAGCTCCCGGTAATCAATGCACATACGGTGCGACCCGTCCTTCTTCTTCACAAACAGGATCGAGGCTCCCCATGGTGAACTGCTCGGCCTGATAAAACCCTTGTCTAGCAGCTCTTGCAGCTGCGTAGACAACTCCTGCATCTCGGGAGGAGCCAACCGATACGGTGCCTTGGCTATCAGAGCCACACCAGGAACCAGGTCAATCCGAAACTCAACCTGTCTCTCAGGAGGTATCCCAGGCAAATCCTCCGGGAATACATCCGGGTACTCTCGTACCACCGGTACATCATCAACTGTCGCCTTACCCTTATCCCGGGTATCCATAACATAAGCGACGTACCCCGCGCAACCCTGCTGGAAATAGCGCCTCGCTCTCGCTGCTGAACAAAGAATCGGTCCGCGTTGTGGCCTCTCGCCCTGAATCACTAACTCTCCCCCACTAGGAGTGTGAACCCTCACCAACTGTAGCTCACAATCAATCACTGCTCCATTGGAACTTAGCCAATCCATACCTACTATAACCTTGTTCCCTCGCAGGGGAATAGGAACCAAATCTACTGGGAACTGCTCATCAAATAACCGCTGTGTACATCCTCTATGAACTCTCGCGACCCTGACGGTCCTGTCGTCTGCTATCTCCACGTCGAGTGGGCAATCCAGCTCCCCCGGAGCTCTGCTAAATCGTTTGCTAAGTGCAAGCGACACAAATGATCGGGTAGCCCCCGAATCAAAAAGTACCATAGCTGAAATGTCGTTCACTAAGAACGACCCTATGCACATATACATAACATAAGCAATAATCAAATAAAATGGTAATAAGAAGATGGAGAAGATACATACCAGTAACCACATCTGGAGTCGCTCGCGCCTCCTCTGCTGTCAACTGGAAGGCTCTTCTCTTCGCTACTGGCGCCTCAGCCCGGCCCTGACGACCGTCTGTAATCCTCATGGTAGCAGGAGCGGGTGCCACCACCTTTCCTACTGATGCTAAACTCGGACACTAGGACTTCTTGTTTCCCATCTGATTGCAATGGAAGCAAATCAGATCAGATGTTGTGGTGGTAGTAGTGGTAGAAGTAGCGGTACAATCTCTGCTCACATGTCCAGTTCGGCCGCATTTGAAGCAGCCCGCACTCCCCGCCCAACACGTCCCCTCGTGCGACCTGCCACACTTGCCGCAGCGGCCTCGGCCCTGCTGGCCCTTCCCTCGGGAATCTGTCTTGGGCTTCTTACCCGAGCCCTCCATGCCAGATACCGACTCTGGCTTCCTCTTCCTCTCCATCTCTAAATCTATCTCTCTTTCACGAGCCCTCGCAATCATGTCGTCCAGCGTCTTGCAGCTGGAGCGGCTCCCAAACTGACGTATATCACTCCACAACATCTCATGATATCGGGCCTTGTTCATCTCCTCGTCCGCCACATACTGCGGAACAAGAAGGGCCCTCTCCCGGAACTTGGCGGTAATCTCCGCCACAATCTCCATCATCTGCTGGAGGTCCTGGAACTCCCTAGCAAGCCGTTGCACCTCAATGACAGGTGCGAACTCAGCCCTGAACCTGGTCGTGAAATCGCCCCAAGTCATCGCATCCAATACCGCGTCATCACCCACGGCCTGTCCGACCTCCTCCCACCAATCTCTCGCCCTGTCCTTCAGAAGGCAGGACGCTAATCTGACCTTGTCCCCCTCGGGACATCTGCTAGTGCGGAACGCGTTGGCGACACCCGCCAACCACCTAGTACTGGCGATGGGGTCCTGATCCCCATGATAATCGGGAGCCCCATGATAATCGGGAGCCCCACATGCTCTGAACTCCCTGAAGGTGAGCGTGCGCGATCCCATCATGGCCGCCACCTCAGTGCGAAAGGCGCCCAACTTCTCATTCATAAGCTCTAGAATACCCTCCTTGACCGTACCCAAGATCACAGGAGTCTGCTCGAGTATAATGCAAGTAACCTCTGAGGAGAGGAACTCCCTATTCTGCTCATCTAGCTGCCTGGCTCCAGAGCCCGAGCCTGATCCCTCCCCGGCACCTGAACTGTCGACTGTTGGTCTGGGTCGTAAAACCACC